AACGCCTTCCTGGAGGAGATCCGGCAGGGCACCATCGAGCGGGAGTGCATCGAGGAGGTCTGCAGCTATGAGGAAGTCAAGGAAGTGTTCGAGAACAAGGAGAAGACGGTGCGTTTGTCCTGCCCCGCTCCCCATGGGTTTGGGCCTTAGCAAGCTGGGGGCAGGGAAGGAAAGCACAGGGCAACAGCCTCCCCTGCTCCCTTTGTCCTCTTCTGTCTGCAGGCAGCATGCTGTGGCCTCACTTTCCCGCATGATTTTCCCTTCCCAGGCAATGCCCTCACCATGGCATTGCCCTGGCTGCCACTCAAGCTGGCACCCCCATGGCGTGTGGGAAATCGGTGCTGTTGTCCCTGACTCTCCAGGCTGGGGTCGGTGTTAGCCAAATTCCTCCCTGCTCGGCATGAGGGCTGCTGGCCGCTGCTGAGGGATCTCCCCATCATCTCTTGTGGCGGCTCCCACAGCACCTCAGATGCTGGCAGCCCTGCTGAAGGTGGTGGGGGTGTCCAAAAACTGCCTCTCGTGTGGGCCTAGGGAGGTGTTACTGCTGGTGGTAGTCCTCCCTGCAGCACATGACGGTTCCTTTTGTGTCCTCTCCCACAGATGGAGTTTTGGAAGGGCCACACCAACTCTGTCTACTCTGTCAAGGACCCCGGGCACAGCACGGAGCGCTCAGATGCTATGTACGTGGTGGTCCCTCTCTTGGGAGTGGCTCTTCTGATAGTCATCGCCCTCTTCATCATCTGGAGGTGCCAGCTTCAAAAGGCCACCCGCCACCGCCCCTCCTACGCCCAGAACCGTTACCTGGCAAGCCGAACGGGACGCAGCCTCCCCAGGGTCATGGTGTACCGGGAGCGGTCGCAAAGCCAAGGGGAAACCCAGTGTCAGCGAGAAGTGAGCAACCGGCTGGCTGGAGACGGCAGAGCCGGGGGCACCCCCCAGCAAGACGGCACCCTCTACCCGCCGGAGCATTCCGTCTCTGTGCTCTCCAGACTGTCCAGTGCCACCCCTCCACCTTCCTATGAGGAGGTGACGGGCCACCCTGAGAGCAGCAGCGGCGAAGAGACCAGCGTCTCCTACAACGACCCGCCGCCCAAGTACGAAGAGATTGTGGCCACGGGTCTGCCTCCTTCCTGCCTCTTCACACACTCACGCTCACCCACCCGCCACCCTTCGCCATGCCCAGGACCCCCTTCAGGTGGCAGTCGGCCCCCCTCCCCCATCTCACCTGTACAAGCTGGTGCCATCACACAGTAGCCTTACCCTCCTAACCAAAAATAGCTGTCCCCCAGCGGGGTGAGGCTGGCTGGGGGGTGGCTCTGGAGCCCGCCCGCCG